AACCTTCTCCTGTCCATACAGAAGAGGTGATTTTGTCCAACAGAATAGCTGGACAGCTTCCCTGTCTAAACAGAGAACTTACCTTCCTTTACCAATTCCAAAATTCCCAACTGTGATACTGTTGACTATGATTAATTGTATTTGGCATAGCTTTAATAAACCTTCAGAGAACAGAATTCTATTTTTTTATATGCAAATGCATCATCAGTTCAAATATTTGCAGGTATCAGGTGATGATATTTGAACATGAGAATACTTCTGGGTTTTCCTACAGTTTATTCTTTAGGTAGTCACAAAACAACTCTACTGTAGTAACATCAATTAATGTTCACTCAGTGTGTAGAGACCAAAGTAGCTACTATACACAAAGATACCAAAAAGAACAAAACAGCACTCAGTTATTTACAACAAACTTCAATAGTCTCACCTACACAAACCCAAATGCTACCTTTCCTTCACCAGCTCCAAAGCCACATAATTCAATAACGACCATTTTGATATGTGAAGTAAACTGTAAGGAGTTTCAGTCTGATCAACCTATTTTCAGCAACAGACATGGGAACTGATTACAAAGACTTAGGAAGGAGCTTCCTAAAATGTACGTAATCCTTGCTTCTTTAACCCAGCCTCTATTACAGCAGCACAGGGTAACCTGGGAACTCTACCACATGGGACAGTCTAATACCTGGTACTAAAAACTCTCTGTGGCAGTATAATCACTGCTCAGGCTTTCTACCTCCAGCCAAAGTTACTTTCTGTCATGCCTCAGACCATAGAGAAAAGGAGAATAAAATTGTTAATTTGGTATTACAAGCACAGAGGAAACACTTAGGTGGTAAGACATGAAGAAGCCTGTAGACACAGTCTAGCGGGAAAGGCACTGTTCATTTAGCCACCACAGTCACTTTGGAAAACTCAGTAAAAGCATGTTAAATACATTAATACATGACAGAAAAGTAAGGAATGCATTTGTAACACATTGCTGTGTCTTCAATAGCACCAGATTACCATCTGATACATTACCATCTGGTATGATCACCATGCAATACAAATTTACTCCCTCGGCAGGTGCAGACACAATCACATTTCTATCAAATCTGCCAGAGTGCAGGATGTTGCATTCTTGCTGACTTCATGCCCACTGAAGGAGACAAACAATACCTGATCTGGCATTATGATAGTCACAGACAGATGAACAATACCTGACAGAGCAGAAAATTTACTAGTACAAGGTTAACATTAAAATTGGGGATGACAAGGTATGTTTACATGAGATGTTTGCATTGTATGGTTACGGGGTTCTGATCTGCTGGCAAGTGTATTAAAGACATACCATTGAATCAGCACTCTAAATCAATCCATTAAATCAGTGTCTGTAGAACAAAAAGTAACACAGCATCCTCCTCCCTCTATACTGCTCTGTCCCTGTCAGATATCTAAGAGCTTTCAGTCTTTTATCTAACTGCAGGGGATCTCACACACTCTGTGTTCATGTCAGCAGTTTAAATTACCAATAGTAGAAGGGAGAAGGGTGGAGAGAAGAAAAACTTCTGTATTCAATACAATTTCACACACAGAGGAGAAAATAAATCAAGTTAGGATTACAGACATAGCTGCTTAGATTCCCTAAATGAGACAATGAGTATTATCTCATCTGGCAGTTTAGCATGACTGAAATGAAACGTAATTTGTAGCTGATGCCAACTGGCAGAAGACAAACAAATGTTCACGGTAATTTTTGTGCCTTATTAAAAATGTACTTATGCCTTAAATTGTACGGAAAACAAACAGAATGCTCTAGGTCTACAAAGTACAAGATTTGCAGATGCTACCCTCAGCTGCTAACTCACAGAAAGATGTGTCTTGAGTTTTACAATTTAAAAAGACAAATCTAAAATTATGCCATCTCAAATCTTCTACTCAGTATCCCTGTCTCCAAGAGCAGCCAAAAGCAGATGTCTGGGGAAGAAGACAGGAATAGTGTAAGCATTTAGTCATACTTTCCCCAAATACGCTCCAGTCCCCAATAATTTGCAGCTCAGGGACTTTCAAGGCCAGAGGTCAAGCTTACGTATTTCGTAATTCCCTACAGATTTTTCTTCCATTCATTTTGTCCAGTCTCCCTTTGAATTGGTATAAATTTTCAGTATCTACCACATCCTGTGGGGTTACACAGCTTAATGATATGTGCGTGAAACAAAACTCTTTTTGTTGTTCTGAACCCAACACCTGCTAGTTTCATTCCCATGCTCATTAGTTCTTGTACTGGGACAGTCAATGAACAACTGATCCTTATCACCCTCACCATGTTGTTCATGTTTTTATAAAACTATCAACACAATCCCAGTTGTCTCTTCTCACTAATTGTTCTTCGTATGGGAGGTGTTAAAACATCTCTGATTGCCCCTGCAGTGAACTGGAAAAGCAAAACATGCATTTAATCTTTCTTCTATGGCTTTACTTTCCCTGAATGTTCTTTTTATTCCCCAATAATCTGGGCCCTACAGACTCTGCATCAGACTTCCTGCTCCTCAACTTGTTCCTCAAACTCTTTTCTAACCTGCCTTCTTACGGACATTTAATTCTGACTGAGTTCGACCTTTATGTTTTCCCCTTCCACACGCCTGCACTTCTTTAACTACAGCTACTACCCCTGAAAGTGCAATTTTTCAACAGTCTTTGATTACACAATTAACTGGAATTAGTATTACAAAAATAGACAAGGACAGAGGCCAACAGTTTGTTGTGAAAATATTTTCCTCCATCACCTGTAAATTAATGGAAAAATCTGTGGGGAAAGGAGGTTTCTCAGCATTACAATTGGCATGAATTGCTTTTCCCAGTCCACAGTACTATCAGGAGTCTGGTGAATTTTTCTTTCCACAGTTTCTTCAATACCCAGGTCAGACTTAAATCACTTGCACTACAAGGAAAACACTTTATCCTAAAATTTTCTCTCTCCTCTACCCTTCCTTCACTGAAAAGGGTCTTTACAAGCATAAAAAAGAGACTTAATTTTTTTTTTCCTTTTTTTAGCTAAGGTTTCCAAAGAAATTTGTTCCAGTATTTTCAGGATTTGCATTATGTAATAAAGTAAGCTATTTTATTACCAGGCAATGTTAATTTAGAAAAGGTAGAATTTTTATTGGAGGAAAAGATAGGAATTAAAAAATGAAGACCTAGAGGAATGACCTGAACAATGTCATCTTCAGTAAGAACATGTGCAAGATGATACAGTTAGGCAGAAATAATCATCTGTATAATGATCAGTGTGAAAAATGTCTTAGAATACACATCCTTAGATAAGGATCTGGTGGATCACCGCCTGACCATGAAAAAAAAAAAATAAAAAAAATCACAGTGCTGCAAAAAAGACATGTGTTGTGTCAGTAAGTATGAAGAAGATACTACTCCATTTTACTCAACATCATCAAAAACTCAAGTTAAATACAGTCTTAACTTGGACAGAACAAAACACATGTGAAGTAATGGAAAATAACCCAAAGAAAACCAACAAAAATAACTGGTGTACAGAAAACAGTACCTGTGAGGTAAAAGAACTGAACTTAAAGAAAAAGAGGCCATGATAGCTTAGAAGAAACACAATAAAACACATTGTAAGAAGAAAAACAATTATTTGCTTTGTCCAAGACAGATGCAGCATGGGCAGTTATGGTGTTAAACAGCAACAAAGAAGGTGTGAATTGCGTAACATGATAAAGTATGGGAGACTACTGAGCTCCTTAGGACAATTCACAGATGATAAATATGAATGCTCCTATCCTGGGGAAAAGAATGGACTGGATGACTTCCTAAGGCCTCTTCTAGTCCCACCTTTTTATGTTCTTTTCCTTGGACCTGAGGCAGAACCTTTTCTTTTCAGAGATTAATAAAAAAAAAGTGGGGCGAAAGAGGCTGCTACAGGGCTGCCTTGAAAAAAATAAGGCTACAAACAACCTGCTCACACATAAACTATTCATTCAGACCTTCTCCCTGTCAAACTCCAAGGAGCCTGTGGAAAGAGAGGAAGACCAGCTGCCAAGAGCTGAAGGCATAGTGCTGAAAGCATGGACTTCTATTCTCTGACCTTCCCCTTAAGACATTCCTTAAATGTGGCTTGGAAGCAGACGCATACTGTGGAAAGCACAGTGCATGCATGCATGCACAACACTCCTGATGTACACTGAAAGCAAAAGATTGCACATCTTCTGTGCAATGTACGTAATGTGCAACAGAAAAGTTAGGTGAACTCTGCTTACATGGACTACTCAAGCACCAAATGAATTAGAACTCTCCTTAGGCTCTGTTTTAGACTGGACTTTCACTCTTTCAGATCAACACATACCATTCTTGCACTAAGCAAACTCAAGAAAGGCTGGATATTTCTGTATTCCAAATTTGGCTGCGATGAAAGGTAAGCTTTAATTCAAACTGTCAGGGCTGTCATGGAATGCGGTCTGGGTCACTTAGATATAAAGACTGGTTGAAGGTAATTACATTGATTTTATGCAGTCATGATCATGACTAATGACTGAATAAACATGTATGCACAACACAAACCTCATGCACATTTCTGCAAACTGGATATCTATGCTAAATTATCTCAGCAAAGCAATCAGCTGGGCAGTCTGTGGAAAGTCCTGCACGCTAGCTGCCTTGTTCTATGTCTATTAGTAGCTTAAAACCTAAACAGGGAGAAAAATTAGACCTTTCTTAACTCCTGAAAGGTAAACCACACCAGAGCAACACTGTCTTGAGAAAAATCAATGCAGAGAGAAGACATAACACTGCATGAAATTTCCTGTTAAGCATAAAACTATAATTTCATTCTATTCCCAACCTGGCTCACCACTTAATGTTGAACTAGTAAGTTAAAACAATTTTCTAAAAGCACAGAAACAAATCCACAAGTTACAAATTTAAAATTAGCATACATGCAACTAATCTCAACATGTAAAAGCTATAAAGGAATATGTTACCATATTTAGACTAGAACTTACCTTTGAAATTTTCTTATAAACTCTGAATTACTCACACTTGCCTATGCAGAATGATGTTCAGGTTCTACCAGGTGTCTGCTCTGAAACAGAGTTACAATTGCTAAAACTGTCACTATGGCCACTTACACTTCCTGCCTTATTTTGTAAGATAAAGTGAGTCCATACAAGGCTAAGAAAGAAATAGTATTTGTACCAGTTACCCTCCACTATTCATATTACAAGCACAATTCAATACATACTATTCATCAGTACTAAATAGTTATGTAGAAAGATGCTGCCATTCTTTGCACACAAAGAACACTTTTGAGAAATTCTGTACAAGTCTGACTTTAGTTGTAGTATTTTAATCCCAGCTAGCAACTCAGCACCACACAGCTTCTCATTTACTCTCCCCTTTTGTGGGATGTGGAGGAGAATCTTACAGAAGGGCAAAAGTGAGAAAACTTGTGGGTTAGGATAAAGGCAGTTTAATAGGTAAAGCAAAAGCCTCACATGCAAGCAAAGAAAAACAAGGAATTCGTTCACTACTTCCCATTGTCAGGAAGGTGTTTAGGGCCATCGCCAAGAAAGCAGGGCTCCATGAGGTATAATGGTTACTTGGGAAAACAAAACACCATCACTCAAAATGCCCCCAGACCTCCTTCTTCCCCTAGCTTTATATATTCAGAATAATGTCATATGGCATGGGATACCACTGTGGCCAGTTAGGATCAGCTGTCCTGGCTGTGTTCCCTCCAACTTCCTGTGCACCTCCAGCCTCACTGGCAGGGCAACAGAAGAAAAAGCTGAAAAGTCCTTGACTTCGAGTAAACACTGCCCAGCAACAACAGAATCATCGCTGTGTTATCAACATTAGTCTCATCCTAAATCCAAAACACAGCACTGTACCAGCTACTAGGATGAAAATTAACTCTAGCCAGCTGAAACAAGGACATTATTAAAATCTAGATAGCTGACAAACTGTACCCTTAACTGCAGCAGCTTCTCTCTTACAGGTACTTTATTGCAGGAACAGTAGTTGTATTTACAGCAATACATATACACCATCTACTTAACATTTCATGAAAACAGTACACCCCCCTATGTCTGAAAATATTTTTTTACAGCTTTTCCACAAAATTCCTTTCTGCACAGGACATATCAACGCAATACACACACCGAAAGACAAGAGTATGTAACCATTAAAATAAAGCTTCTCTCAAATGCATTTGCCAGAATATAAAACTGGCGCATTAGCACCGCCATGCATTTTAGTGATGAGGTCAGGTTTTGACAAATGAAAGTTCAATGAAAACTCTGAAAAACCTGTTTACAGTGATCCCAGACATAAGCCTTTGCAAGCTGCAATTCACTGACCTATGTAAACTGATTTGGCTTTCAGATAATCTCCTAGTGAATACTATTGCAAAATCTATAAACACAGATGGCACCAACTGGCACCCTATCTGCAATCTCAGTATAAGATCAAATAGAGAGACTGAATTTATCCTCCCACATCACAGGTGATTCTTTCCAAATAGGTTTAAGGGATTATGCCTGGAAGCTGAACCAAGAAAGTTCTGCCACAGCTACCCAAAGTCTCATCAACCTGAGAAGCCACACTGCTTGAACTAAGCTGGCTCAAAAACTGTACAGCTTTTATAAGACAATGCAACATTCAATTCAGACCAGGTCCAAAGTGCAATTACTACAACTATCCTGTTAACCATTTCTACTAGAAGTAAGCTTACAAGATTTTTTCTAAAGCACTATAACAGAAGAACCCACTCAGGATGAAAAAGAACCCTGCAAGATGAAAAGGCCAACAATCTACAATCAAACCCTAAAATACATATGAATTTTATTATTAAAGCTTATTATATGACTTTACAAAATTTACTGTTATTCATCTGGAACAGAGTGACAAAGCTAATAATGCTTATTATTAATAACTGGTAAATTGCCATAAACAATCTTTGAGAATACATACAATGCATGCAATGTCAGGTGCTGGCAAAGATGAAAATCAACTAGTGAACTCTAAAGCTAATTCAAATTCAAGTAATTTTCACTGGTAAGCTGTTAGATATCACATATAAAACATGTATCTAACAATACCTCAACAGTCTTCAAGATAATAAGACAGTACTAAGACAAAGTAATTTGAAATGGAGACACCAGTGACAAATGAGGCTGTGCAGCTGCTTCAGCAATACTGTTTTGTTAATCCTTTCTGAGCTCTAGAAACTCTACAAAGGTAAAAACGAAAAGATCTGAAAATCAGCTGAAAGTCAGACTTTCTTTGCATCTGGGTTCATTTAATTATAGTCTTCTCACTGGCTGGAACACAGTGAGATGCTTTCTCAAAGATATTTTTTCTCTTTTTACAGTGTTTCATTTTCATGCTTTATCATCTAGCTTCCATGCTTTCACTATGGGCCTCAGGAAACACCATCCAGCAACATTTAAGCCAATATAAGAAATGTTTCCAGGAACAAATACTGCTGCAGCATTCTGCTCATGCAGCTATGTCTTAAATATTCTGGATTCTCATGTGAAGTGCTCACATCTAACTTTACTATATAGCTCCAAGCTGAGATAGTATGATTATGAGAAGCAGAAGACAAGGAAAACTGGAGAAATTAACCTTCAGCAACAGAATGATGTATTTTTTTAATTATATACTCAGTCAGAAACTGAATGCTATTGAATGTGCGAACACAACAGACTAAATATTTTCTGCTGTATGTGCTCAGTCATGGAAAAGATAATTGCCCAGTTGTCACTTGCATTCCCTGAGTTCACAATTTTAGATATATTCCTGATCCACCATGTCGATCAGGCACATCTGCAGTCATTTGCTTGCTTTTGCAGCAAATTTATAATTAAATTGTTTTTTTCATTGTGGGTTTTGGGTTTTTCAGAATTACTTTCCAAAACCTATCTTCTAGGAAAGTATTTCTAGGAAAATTCTGGCGCTGAAATGTTTATCTGTGGTTTATGTCTGACCTCCTAAAATCTAAGCATAGGGAGAAACAAAAGCAATTATAAAAATTTAGTATCTCAAATCAGCACTAAAATATTTTCCAAAATGCATTAACTACTTTCAATAATATAACAGAAAAATGACTCAAACTATTTGCTTTACTTAGAAGACTGTTTAAAAATAAAGTAATAAAACAGTCTTTTACACACCTTTCAGAGTATCTGACTATACCTCCTCAGCAATTTTAAAAGACAATTGATAACACTATTTTTTATCTGGTCCTTAAAAAGGCAATACATTCAGCTTAATTCCAGTTTATCTGTATGTAGGAAGGTGATTTTAGAAGAACACATCCTGTTAGCTCCACCTTTCCAGAGCAGATTTCAGGCACCATGACCTGGAAGAATCTTGTCAATTTTTGTGAAAGCTGTAAAACCAGGCGGGAAATACAATGTAAGCAAAAGTCTCTGGCATCATTTTAACAGACTTGTCAGATATAATCACATCAGCAATTGTCTCTGCATCAAAGAAAGGACTCTGAGAGCCATAACACCTTCCAGCCACTCAGCACCTTTGCCCTTTTTCCCAAGTGAGTTCAGAATGTTGACACCACAAATGATTTATCCCCTAGGCAGAAAGCAGAGAAATGGGAACTATTGTGGGGGAAGGGAGGCACTGAAAACAGAGAGGGAAGAGGCAAATGGAGAGACACAGAAGGCCCCTGTTCATGGGAAAATAAGGAGCGGGGGCACAAAACGGCTCCTCTCATTGCCAAATGCCACCAGCAGCTCAGAAGTTGATCTTTGCTCTCCTCCCTGCAGATGGGATGGTGCAAAGGGTCAATCAACAAGAGGAGCCGTGTGTGCTTGTTCCTGTGCATAAACACACGTGTGTGTAGGAAGTGAGGACAGTTAGGGACAGCAGAGCAGCCATCCTCACTGCCCTCCAAGCTTTACCAAACATCTCTGGGCAGCTGCATGCCCCCTCAGTGGGGGTGTTCCTATGTGAAGAAACTGCTTCCTTTTTCTCTTGTAACAAGTTATCCTTAAGAGGCTGAGGGTGAAATTCCTAGAAGCTGGTTGCTGCCTTCAGTGAATAACCAGGAGTCTTACTTCAGCTAGGAGCTGCCATCCCGTGTTCAACATGTCACCTCATTCTAAGAACTACTTCTCTTTTACTGGGGAGCCCTTCAACTGGTATTCCAACTGTCTAACAAAGGAGAAGCTTCTGGAAATACAAATTTTGATGAAGAATTGTGTTCTTCATATCACTCAGGAAAATAATGATGTGGTTTCCTTTTCATGTAATGATTATTTAAACAGTAATGTCTATACCATACACAAAACAAAACACTGTGTTTCTTGCCTGGTGCCAGCTATGTAGTCACCTGCAGTCCAACTTGGTTCTGCCGATGCAATCGCATATAGCATTTACTATGTCATTGTCCTACTGTATTACAGAACACCACAAGCAATTTTCACAGCTACAGGCTAGAACATGAAAAATTACTGGCTTCCTTTCAGCCTTAGCCAGCAGTGTTCCTGTTCCAAACTTACCATCAAAGCACACAGGAGTGACTGTGAGAAAATGTGGAAGAATATGGTTTGATTAAGAAGGTAAAAAAAAAAAAAAAAAAAAAAGACCTACAACACTCTTATGCAGAAATGCTGTATCCGGTGGTCCCAGTGATTTACACTTCTTAAAAACAAATGACATTACTATTACTTGCCTGACATGCGGGTACATCATCTTGCAAGCATTTCCCAGAATGCTTAATAAAAACAGCAGATTAACTAAAAAAAGATAAAGTGGGCAATTTCTCAGATACTGATTAAACCCATGCCATGACCCAGACAGAGGAAACCTGTGAAGAAGGCTGTGATGTGATTAAAGCTGGAGTGGTGGAAACTAGCGTATGTAGTGAAAATTGAGGAATGCTTCCATGAAAACTGTGTCTGAGATAAAACCCTCTCATTAACAACTGCCCTAACAGAGCAGACTGATGGTCTGTCTGTATCCTGCAACTAACAATGGGTGGAAAGGAGAAGAAAGTGACGGAGATTAATTGTGATTGTATATTTGTAAAACGTTTTATTCAGAAAAATAAAGTTGAACACTGATTTTAGTGTCACTGACACTTTCTAATAAGCCACTTTGTGCACAGCATGTATTTAGGCCTCAGTGAGTTACAGCTCTGTAAGGTTTTAGGGACCAAAGCAAACCCGCTGAAAACAAGGGGACTCCCTGCAGATGTGAGCTTGTGCAGCCAGAACCCGCTGCAGGACTGGAACCAAGCAGACATTTTCATTAAGGTATCTGTAATGGTGCCTAGGAATGCTTGGCTATGAAAGCCAAACCTTTCAATTAACACATATAATGTTTTCTTCTAGATGAGGTCAGCTAAAGCTTTTAAATTGTTTTCAGTTATTCCTAATAACACATCTGTTTTCAGGATGCACACACACCGTCTCGTCTGCCTGCTTTTGGCTCAGTGTAAACGATGGAGCAACTCAGCCGCCCCGCCACCAGGTACCGGCAGCGCTCGCACTTGTCCGGACAGAGCACTGCCAGCAGTGCTGTTCTACTTGATGCTGCTCCAACGCACCCGCAACTTCTGAATTGTGGGATCCAATCTCAGCGGCGTGTAACCGAGTTCATTTAGAGCGACGCCTAAACTACCAACAAACCTTCACTGGTAACTTCTGCCGTCTACTTCTCGCCCTTTCCTGTAAGTACCCTAAGAAATACCCTCACACACACAGAGGTCAAAAACTGAGCGCAGAAAAGCGAGAGGAAGGAAGAACACGTCTGAGCGAGAATGCGCCAAGGTGAGCTCTGAACGTTCTCTCCCCCGGTCAGCTCGCTGAGGACGCTAGCGTCCCCATCCCCGACCCCACGGACTGGGCTGCAGGTGCCGCGGCCGTGGCTGCAAGCCGGGCAGGGGACAGCTCGCCTCCCGCTCCCCTCTCTGACCACGCCTCGGCTCCCGCACGAAGCCGCCTCGGGACCGCTCCCAGCGGGTGGCGCCCCCGCCGTTCCGCCCGCCTCGGCTCCGCGTCCCCGCCCTACTCTTCGCGGCTCTCACAGCACAAACGGAATGGGAGAAAGCGTTGGCAGCCCCCCGCCGCCTCCCCGCGGCCAGCAGGGGACACCCCGAGGGGCAGCCGCGGCCGCTCAGAGCTGTGTACGTGTGCCTGGGGCACCCCCTCCCCGCGGGCGGAGGACCCACGTCCCGCCGCGGCTGGCGGCTCGAAGGAACCTCCGCATCGGAGGGAGGGAGGGAAGGAGCGGAGAAGAAGCCCGGCGGCTCCGGGCGCCCGGCGGGGAAGGGGCCAGCGGGTGCCTCCCGCCTCCCCGCTTCGCTGGCGGACGCTGGGCGGCTCTTCCCGCGCCACGGCCCCATCCGCGCTGTTACCTCCGCGCCGTGCCCCGTACCCTCCTCGCCTCCGGCGGTTTCCCGGCCCGTCCTGAGGCTAAAAGCCCCTACCCGAGGGGAACTGCAGCCTGGCCGCAGCACGGGCAATGAATGGAAACGTGCCCAGCCGACCTTGTCCTCCCTCCCTCCCCCCCCCTCACAACTTCAGTGGGGCGGCCTTCCCCTCACCTTGGCCGGGCAGTGGCGGTTCCTTCGCGCTGGGGCTTTGCTCCCGTCGCAGCCTCCGGCCCGCGCCCCGCCGGGCTCACCCTCCGCCGCTCCCGCCACGACCATGCACTGAGGGAGGAGGAGTAGGATCCCGGCGAGCGCCAACCCGGCCGCCCCCAGCCGGAGAAAGGGAGACGCGGCGAGGGGCGGGGAGGGATGGGACGCGGCCGCCCTGCCCTGCCCAGGTCCGGCCCCCTCACACTGACGTCCCCCGCACTCACACCGACGGCCGCGGAGGGGTGCCTGTGCCCGGGGCCAAGCCGGAGACAAGCGGGAGGCGGGAGGCCCGTCCGCGCCGCTCTTGGCCCTGCCGACAGCCGCCGCGGGCACCCGGCTCCTCGCAGGGTCGGGTTGGTGTGCTCCCGGCCAGCGCCACAGCCGTGGCAGCGGCTGGCCCAAGGGAGAGCTCCAGCAAACAGTCCGGATAATTGCAGACCCCTCATCCTGGCGGTTTAAATAACCAGCGGTCCTTCCTCGGCCTCCCGCCACGGACCCGCTAAGAACCGACGTTATCAGGCCCGGTATTAACCACTGCCATTCTAACACCCGTGACCTGCCTCAGTGGACCTCGTTGTGGAAGGTGCACTGACTGAAAGCGAGAACGGTAAACATCAACTCACCCTATTTCCAAACACTCCTCTCAATCTAGACCTTCTGAAAAAATAAATAAAAATACACGATTTACACTGCAAGAAAATGTCTCCAAAATTGTCTGTAAAGCTTCTGTTTTCGAATCTTTTTATCTGAGAATAAATTATTTCCCACCAATCTCCGTTTAAAATCCCAGTTAACACTCTTCCAGTTTATAAGCAGCACTCTGATGAGCCGGGTTTTTCAAGAACTTTCTGATTTTTTGTGTTTTAAGATATCTAATGCTAAGCATATATGTGTCTACTAGTATCAATACCCATTTAAATCATCTGCAGAGAAAATTACGGTTTAAGCTCAGACATGCCTCCACATGCCTCTGCTATTCTCTGCAGTTGAGCCCTTGTGTAATATGCTGATTGTTGCAAGTGGATGACAGGTGTCTAAGAAATTCATACAGCTCTTCTCAATATCAGCTTCACTTGCTAGATTGGAACTGGCTGTTGCAATAGATAAAACCAGACACTAAGTGGGTCAACAAAATAAATCACTCAGGGTATCTCATGGCCATAAATGAAGTGTTTCACCAATGCAAAACTTCATTTGCTGCAGCTAAAGCTGTCCTCATGGGAAAAAATAAGGAGCTGTCTTTTGACAGCTATCAGAATGGTATCTTTCATGAGCATTGTGTTTCCTTGAAGCTATGGTTTTGGACTCAATTATTATTACACTCTGATAATACAGACAGATCAATGCAGGCTGGGCCTTCTGACAGCTTGGGACTCTGAGGTCTTCAGCTGTGCAAGGGCGCACTCTAAACTGGTCCAGTTGCTGGATTTGTGCCTTTATAATTAGTGTCTGCTGCTCAGAAGACAGAAAATCAGTTAATGTTTTCCTAGGTATGTAGGTTTAAGGGGAAGGAACAAGCACAAAAATCCAAGAATTATGTTCCTGTGGCAGAAAGCATTAGAAACATGCACAGCTATCTACAGCTACTGAAAATAAAGCATATACTTTCATGGCTGATTATTGTCCAAACTTGTATCCTTTTGTTACTTTTCCCCCTTTTCTCTGGACAAGTCATTAAATTAAGCATTCTGAAAGGGTTTTATTAGAGACATTTTTGATTGTTTCCATTAGACTCTGAAAATTAATTTTCTAAAAAATAAGGGTGTCTTTCTAAAGCTGAACTCCCTATGACTTTTGGGAGCAGCTACTTTAACATAAAATAGGAGACAACTCAATAGGCCCGTCCAAAAATAAACATCTCTTTAAAGAATATTTTAACCCTGGAGGCTTTGCACGAATAGAGCAGTCACAATTTTACTTGATAATACAAAATTAACATAATAGATATCTTAATTTTCAAAAAGCTATGAGATTTTCTGAATTCCAGTTTTTGAGCTAGTCTCCGTAACAGATGACTCTACCACTTTTGCAAAAGTGTTTTCTGAAACAGCTAAATGTCTCATGCTGTTTCAAAAGATGTGTTAGAACTATGATAGTCTACCAGTAATATGACACCAAAAAGCATAAAACCTGCATTGGAAATACTCTTGTAGCAAAGATCAGTTTTCTCACTGATCATCTATTAAGTCCTGAAAAGATGGATGAAGTGCCTCTTGATCTAATAAAACTTACCTAAAATGAAAGGAAATAATTATTAATGAATTCCTGCTATGTTAATTCATGAAGTTTGCTTCTAAACATAGACACCCATGTTTGTCCAAATTACATGGAAGTTTTGCTGCACTTAACAGATAGGATAAAGAGCAATCTTGTGATGATTGCTGTGGTAGGGGATACAGTGGCAGTAGCAGTCTCTTCCTCCTCCTCCACTGACTGTTTAAAAAATGTTTGCTATCTAAAAATACACAGCAGAAGCAGTTACACAAGAAGAGTTATATAGTCCTGCTACCAGTTAGCACTTCTGTGCTGCTTAGCCACTGGATAAAGTAATTACTAATGTGAATAATGATACCAGGTAATAAGAAAAAAAACCCAGAGAATGCTATTAAAAAGTTTTTAAGAAGTTGGTTATACACTCACAATATTGCATGTAGTAGAAAGGGCAACCATGGCTTTGAATATGTAATTTGGGCCATAGGGTGGTCCAACCCCATCGGGTGCTATCTGGTCCTCAGCACAGATTGTTACAGATACTTTTTATCATACTATCCTGGATCCAGAAACTTGTGTGGCAAGCTTCATGCATCAGGTTGTGGGGCTGAATGAGTTTTCAGGTTAGAAAACCAGTAATGAGCAGGCAGGTTTACTAGGAGGTAGGAAACAGCACTCTGAAATCCCCTCATTTGGCCATGAAGGCCAGGGGTTGGGACCCAGACAGATCTAAGTATAGCATATCATTTTCTTAATTTGAAATGCTTATTTATTTGGAATTGGTGTGAGGAACTTGGTATTTCCTTCTATTGAAGTAGTGAGGTTTTAATGCTAACTAATTACAATATTGCTTTGATGTGCAGCTCTAAACATTTTCATTTTGATTATATGAAATCCCACTGCAAAAACAAATAACTCATCACCAGAACTTAGCACATATGCATTATCCAAACAGGAAACAGAGATGTCAAACAAGCACACTTTGGATTAAGTGATACATGAGATGGAAAAAATGATATAATACTTTTTCCTCTTGCTCATAGATCTTCCCAAGTGTTAACTTCATAGGCATTCATTTGTTTAGACAGTTTTCCCCCCTAAACATTGGTTTACTTGTAACCCCAGATAGTAATACCTGACATCACTTTGATTGATCCATTTAAATTGCCTACAGACTGCAAACTGTTAGAATGAAGGGGTATTTTACCCTGAAATTTCCTGAAGTTCACCTGAACATATACAGTCTTGAATGTGGCCCAGATAAAGGTCATAAGAACAGAATATAGACAGGGCAGACAAAATAGGATAGTGGGAAGTACAACCAAAGAGGCTACGACATCCAAGTAACTCGCAAATAACATATAGGTTGGAAAGCAAAACAGATACTATTTGGCTCAAAATGAAGCTCTCACTTAGTCTGTGAATAGTAACTGGAATCTATTAAAAATGTTGGAGAAGATACAAAAATGTCTATATGGTGCTTACAAAAAGCTATAAATGAACAAAGGGAATATCATGTACGCATAATGCAATTAAGAACTAGTTAGACTAAACAGCAAATTAATGTCAGCTCTATAAGCTTCAGATACATTCATACTAGATTTGTTCCCTGATTGTATTTACTTTCCTTTTGTAGTTTTGGTTTTGGGGTTTGGGTTTTTTTTTTAATTTTGTTGTAGGTGGCTGCTGTTTCAAAACCTTTTCACTGTGAAATACTGGAATAAATTTCAGTATGAGATGAATGATCCGACTATAGAAACACATGGGGAAGAATTTTATTGGAGAAAAATAATGTTGGAATAATAATACTAAAACTGGAACTTGTTTTATGAACTCCAATGAAAATTGAAAGAGAGGAGTTAAGAATACAGAAAATGGTGGGAAATACACAAAAAGAATACCCAACTCAGAGTCAGAAGGAACCGAGTACACGCAAGAGGGTTACTTTATTGTGGTTTGTTCTTCTACCCCAAAGAAAAGTAAGATGCAAAACATCAGCTGAGATAGATCTCCAAGGAAATGTATCATTCTCATGTAATGCTTGATTTGGTTTACAGCTTCAGAAATCTCAGTTCCTGTAAGCACTTAGTTATGACATTTAATTTTCAGTAAGTAGTTCTTTCCTCTAGTGTCGACTAGCAGATGGTGTTACAGAAAGGATTATGATCTTTCTACTCTAAAGCCAGTGATGGTGGGGACATTTAAGTCTGGGAAAACCCACCTGCTACAGTTTTTACCATGGTTTGTAGGAACCCTGGTTGCAAATCATACTCACACTCTACTATAACCATAGAGTAAAATGAAGGCATCATGACCAGAAACATCTTACACTGTAAGCAAATCAGATAAAATCCCCAGTCCCTAGGCATAGACAAGAAGAAGGAAGCTGGGAACTAGAGTAACAGTAAGAACTACTGATCAGCATTTTTGGGAAATGTATTCTTAAAAAAAAAAAGCAAAAAAAAAGCCCCAAATTGGTTATAATGGATTGTTTGTAATATAATGGACACCGGTAACAAATGACAGATGAGAAGAGGCTGTGGTTAAGCTGAAAAGGACATTCAAAATTAACACCTTATGTTGTAGACAATCATAAAATGAAGAGTGCAACAGCACCCTGAGTGGATAATAGCAATATCATATTCATTCCACCAAGTTTGGAGAAAAGCAATTTTATAGTTCAGATCCAAAATAAAGTTTAGGTGAGTGTTTTAGCCATGGATGAACAGAAAACATACCATCTCAAAACTGTCATGTACAGAATCAATGTATAATATCTAGAATACCTGCATGTGATGTCCTAGGGAGAGATCAGTGCTGAGTGGCAGAAAACACGGAAATAGTGTCTGCATAGAAAGAAAATGGGAGGAAGGTTTGGAAGGAAAGGCTGGGAACTGTTTATAACCATACTAAATGTGAATTAATGGTTTATTTCCAAACTATTCAGAGAGATGCCTTGATATCTACAGGAGAAAGAAATGTAGGGTGACTCAGAAAAGTTAGTTTAGGAGCATGCAGGTTATTTTGATATTAGGAACAAGTAAAAGGGAGCAAGAACAGAGCTCTTAGAGTTTCCATAGGAAACTGATGAAGAAAACACTTTTCTAGACATGCGAATCAACGCAAAGCAGTAAATAAAAACAAATTGAAGAAATAAGGTCAGTTAAAACAGAGTATCTTATAAAAAAGGAGACCTTTATAAAGGAGGAAACATGAGAAGAGGCAATGGCTCCTGGTGGGTGTCAAGAGATATCTGTTCACTCTGGTTGAGTATTCTGAGGTCTCACATTCCAGCTCTGAACCAAACTCAGTGTTTTGGGGACAGTAATTGTTAAACTAATCTGGGACACAGCCAGTGTGATACAAGCAGGAATCCACTGTATTTTAAGAAGGTTGTAATTGAGTGCAGACACTCAGGCTCACTGAAGGGATCCAGATTTATCACTGTGTCTAATCTGTATTTTTGAAACTCGTATTATTGTAAGCATTATGAAAAAAAGCTGTCTAGCCAAATAAATGTTGCCTGACACAACAGCAGTAACAGCTGTTTTATCTTCTTTCCCATAATTTGGGGCTCTAGGACAGCGAAAAATTTTAAGTGCACTTTCAGGCATTAATTCATGGGAATTTAAATTAGCAACATAATTTCTTCTGAACACACTAAGGCATCCATTAGGAATAAATAATTAAAGAGTCCAGGTTTTAAATATGACATTCATCTATTGAAATTCCCACATTAATACCCAGTTATCCTAATCTATTTCTTTTCTAATGCCTTAAAGATATCTTTTCATGTCTAAAGGAGTGCTAAAAGAAAACAT